AGCAGCTTTGGATGCTCGGATAGCTTGCTCATTAGAGTTAGCACACTGGTCCTTGAGGCGTTCTATTTCATGATCCTTTTTCTTGCATTGCCTTTGCAGACCATCAATGGTGAGGATAGATTCTTGCTCCCTTTCTTCAAGGGCCCTCATCTGGGCTCCCATGATTTCTATCCTCTGGGTCAAGGCATCGACTTGAGCTTGCAGCTCTTCACTATTGGCGCTTGTAACGAGTGAGGTGGATGGTTGAGATATCCCTCTTCTTTTTCTCCACACCTCATAGTCACTGAAGACAACTACTCGAGTTTTTTCTAGCTCTCTATCTCCCATAAAGACTGGTTTCTCCCATGCTTTTCTCACGGCTAGTGAGTTGGCGATTGTGCATGGGTCTTCGAAGAAACACATTCCTCCGAGTTTCCCTCGAGAAATTGTAGTTTGAGTCCTCATGAGCTGCCTCATAGCTACTCTAGGTGAGTAGGCTATGCAACCCCTGAGTCCTATCAAGGGTACGTTCGGATAATCTCCACATCTGATGAGGATTGGACCGGGTCGGAACCAAGGGCAGACCCAGGATAAATGGTTGGCGTCCCATTGTTCCAACTCATCCTTCCACTCTGAAGTTAAGCTTCGTTGGAGAGGGATTTTGGAGAAGCTCCTCAAAGGGTCGGGGAACATCCCCATGTGACTAGAGGCGTAAACATGTGTAATGCCCCACACAAAGAGCAGTGAAGAGCAGCGACGAAGTGTTTTTCCTTGCTTCTGGCGGTAGAATTCCACCGAGAGCAAGGTGTCGGCAAGAATTGCAGGCAAGGGACTCTTCGAGTTCACGTTCCAGGCAAAGAAGGCGTCCATGACGACTTGATCCACTGTGTCGACGTGGAAGGGAAACACGATCGTTCTGAATATGATTAAGGCCAGGGTTTTGTTAAAAGCGACACATTCTGTCCTTTCAACCAAATCAGACAGATGGTCTTCTAACATTGAGACTTTCCAACCCTGGATTTTCCCTTTTCCTATCAGGGTAGTCTTCCGAAATGGTAGTTGGATGATGGCAGCGACTTGTGCTGCAGGAGTATATGCCCCGTGGCGGATATGGACCCCGGCTGATTTGGGCCATTTCAGCATAATTTCGTACTCCTCCAAGGTGGGCACCATGTCGAACCGAGGAAATTCAAAGCAGCGTAGACTAGAGTTCCAGAAGTGAACTAGTACTCTGATGAACACTTGATCGACACAGATCTTCAGCAGGTCGAGAATCCTTCCATAGGATTTTTCAAAGTCGGAGTGGACCTCTGGTGGCATTATCGCGCAAAGTCGTTCCAATTTCTCAGCATGGTATCGGGGAATGTCCACCTTCTTCAATTGTCTACTAGTCCCCTCCATTTTCTAAAACCAAAATGCATGTTTTATGAAAATGATGCTTATTGAATGAATGTGAGTGTTTATTTTTCTATTTATCATGTTTTGTATGATATTTGCGTATTTTTTAAAAAAAATAAACTACCTATATGAATGATTTATGAGTGTAATATTTTTTGAACAAGGTCTCATTTATTGCTTTAGACTGAATTTTGTTTTTTTTTATAGCCTTTTATCTCTTCTGTCGGACTGCGTGGCTACTTAGCTTACAAAGAACCTGAAACCAGGCTAGCTAAAAGGCAGACTGTCCGAGATAAAAAAAATGGCTTTATGCAAAAGAATAGTTAGCGTCCCTTATCTCTTCTGTCGGATTGCGTGACTACTTAGCTTACAAAGAACCTGAAACCAGGCTAGCTAAAAGGCAGACTGTCCGAGATAAGGGCGTTTATTGCAAAAAATGTTTTTTGTGATTTTTCTGTTGTTTGGTTATGCTATGCAACAGACAAATGCAACAAACAGATGCACACACAATTCGATCATCCACGAACAGGCGAGAAGTCGTTTTAATCACGAGGTAGGGTTTTCCTGCAGAAAAGTTCTTTGGCGAAGGTAGGTTCTAACTGTTCTCACCAAGGCTAAGGTCCCCAAGGTGCCCCCATTATAGGGTCCCCACTCTCCAGCCTTCCAACCATGCTTAACACTAAGGCCATAGTCAGTCTTTGTGCCAAAAGAGGAAGGTTATCACCTTGAGTGGTGGTTTCCGATCACACTGGTGGGTACAAGGCCATCACTACAGCGAACCGTACCTGCCACCCAGTCCCTATGAATTTCTCACTTGCCCCCAGGTATAGAGGGAACTGTAGTGTGCAAGGGTTTGTGTACAGTTTGTATTTCAAACAATTGCGTAAGTATAAACAAGCAACAATTATTAAAGCCAAACATTAAAGCATGTTATAATACAAGGTAGGATAAGAGCGTAATTTTCTTGGTTTATTTACTTTAAGCTGACCCATCACTAAATGGGATCAACTCTCTAGGCTTCCCCAGTGGAGTCGTCATCTGTCGCCGCCATCAAAACGAGGCGGTCGGAGCGACGCGATGGTTTCAACTTTCCAATTTTCGCGTTTTTATTGGTGTGGTTACAACGCCTTTAGGTTGTCCGATAATCGGGCTAACCCAATAACTAATTTTGAAGGGTTCTTTTGGAGTCGCCACCGATGTTTTTACCGGAAACATCGGAAAAGGAGTAAAAAGGCGTTGGTTTTCGAAAAACCAACTTTGGTCATTAGAACTAGAGTTGGGTAAGGGAGTTAGTTACATGTAAGGAAAATGTTAGTTCCCTTACGACGCCCCTTCCGGGTTCCCTATGATAAGCCAGCTATTTAAATAAGTAAACCGATGAAAATACGCTTTTACCCTTTATTTGCAGAATTTAAAGTTATGACTACATGACCTTAATATCTATTGCATAATTAAAATAAAACAGTAAAAGAGAGAGGGAGAATGCAAAAACCTCCGAGGCAAGCTTTATATTAATTTTCTGAAAACTAGGGTGTTTTTTGGCGGTCCTTCACTCTCTACAGCGCCGGAAAATTCTCAAAAACGCTATAAAAACTCTTAGAAACTCTCAAAAAACTCCGGAAATGCTTCGGAGGGGTTCTAAGAAGAGAATTTTATGAAGTGACAAGAGAGAGAATGGAAGAACTGTGTGAAATGAGGGGAATGACGCGGCTATTTATAGGGATTCGCGCCTGTCAGGTCGAGACAGCCGTCTCGCCTTGCAGAAATGGCGAGACGACCGTCTCGCCAAACGAGACAGCGGTCTCGCCACTTTCGCAAGGCGAGACGGCGGTCTCGACCCTAAAAGATGAAAATCCTTCCTATTCTAATATGAGGCCTAATAGTCTCTCTTAATGTCTTCTTAAGCTTCAACCATTTTAAAGGTATTCTGGTCTTTATCATGAGATCAGACAAGATTTGGGGTTACACTAACGTTCCTTTATAAATTTTTTTGCCTTGGGCTTGGGCCCTTCCCGTAATTCTCAACGTTGAGTTATTATCCATTCCTAATACTAGACGTGATTTTAGGCGAAAACCACGGGATTACCTGCCGAGAGACCTCATCTCTCAATCGACCTCCTGGATTACTCATTATTCATACACTATAATAAAATATAATAGATGATCATAATGGTCCCTATATAACTAGAGGATTATAAATTAAAAAAAATAAAAATAATATATGAATTCATTATTACATTTACCTTTAAACGATGACATAATTTAAAATAGATCAAATTAGTCAACCTACAATGGACCAACTTTGTAGAAGTGAATAAAGATTTTGAGTTTAATATAACATAAAAAAAATCCAAATTCAAAAGACAAGAACTCGTGAATGGAAATTTAACTGGTAATTGAATTAAATAATTAGTTCTAATTTTATCATATTTAATTTTTTTAAGAATAAATTTAAATGACTTCTCGATTTCTTAAGTAAGTTTTTAATGCATTTTAAACTTCTTAAGTCATTATATCGACTAATAAGATATGATGTTTAATGGAAAGTAAAATATTAGTAGAGTTGTTAGTGAAATTATGTCTTCTATCTCATGTTTTGCCTAACTTTGCATATAAATTTTAGAAGTTTTTTAAGCACAATTTAGATATTAATAATTAAATTTATATGGTTGTCGTATTTATAATATAGGATAACGTTCATCTAAATATCAAACCTACGGTGACTTCTTTTTTTCTCTTTAACAATCAAATTTTATTTTATTTTATTTTTATAAAATACTTTTACTTTATTCTCTAAACCTTATATATATATATATATATATATATATATATATATATATATATATATATATATATATATATATATATATATATATATATAAGTGTCCATATGTTGTTCTTCTCTTGGTTCTGTCTAATTTTTTACTATTTAATCTCTAAACTTTTTTCTTATTTTAACTCTCAGAAAAAGTAATTTACTCCCTGTCTATATTGCCTGTCTGAACAATATTTAATAATTGAAATTCCACTAACCATTTAATTTACACAACCTAGCCACAACAACCAAAAGAGAAAAAAAAAAAAAAAACTACAATGATATGAATGGGAATAAAAAAAAAATCTAAGAACGACAATATCCTTCTAGATACAAAGATATTATTTAACCTATAATATTTTTTTCTGTACATTCGAAATATCCAAAAACCCTAGCGTACAATATTTCTTTTCTTGACCAAACCTTTCAAATTGCTAAATACTGTTAGGAAAGAACCCTTGTCATTATTGACAATACTACACCAAGAAATGAGTCACAAGTCATTATATAGTCTTTTTATACTTCATGATCCCTGATGTTTCTGGACACAAGCAACGGATATATAAATAGAATAAAAGTGTTGGAGTCAAAGAGTCTAAAGAATTCATAATTATTTATCAGAATTCCAATTAGCCGGCTAAAGCAGGCTTGGCCGGCCATGTTATTGGACTGAAACTATGAAAGGTTCAGTGAAAATGGTGTATATATATAACACTCAAACTTGACACTGATGCTACAATTAAGGTATCTCAGAGACCATTGAAGGTGAATTTAACTCAGAAGCACGTAGGAGTGAAGTAGAAGAGATATGAGACAAGCTGGTGCATATTCAGGGTTACTGTGTGGAGGGGTATCAGGAAGGACAGGGCCCCACTCACTTCCCTTGGCAAGGATCAAGAAGATCATGAAGAAGTCAGGGGAGGATGTTAAAATGATATCAGGGGAGGCTCCTATAATTTTCTCCAAGGCTTGTGAGCTATTCATTGAGGAGCTTACTAGAAGGTCCTGGATCATGGCCATCCAAGGCAAAAGGAGGACTTTGCACAAAGATGACTTGACCTCTGCAGTTATAGCCACTGATATATTTGACTTTTTGATCACTTTGGTTTCCAATTCTGACAGCCATGCACTTGGTCCCTCCACCACCACTGTCATGGAGGTGGAGACTATAGATTACTCTTGAGTAACCTTAACACTACAGCAGCTACAAAATTTGAGGTTCTACATATGGCTATGTAATTATTGTAATATATATGTGTGTGTGTGTAAATAAGTACCATATTTGAATGAAATGAAGTTGTGACATGATCATTAATACACACAGGAGCTCATATATCACTAGTTGTTTTAGTTCTTCAAGTTGATCATGTCCCTCTTCTGAATTTAAGTCATGTCCTATTGAACTCCATTCCATGGACCACCGTTGAAGATTTTTGTCCAATCTATCCACTGCACTGCATTGGTGGGGTCATTGCTGACACAAAATTTGTTTCTGAATATAGTAAACAAACAAGACTCAGTATCTTTCTTGATCCTAAACGGAATCGATATCGTGGATATTTGAATAAGATTTTATAATATTTTATTAAAATCTAACTAAATATAAATATTTATATTTCTAATAATGACGTTCCTAAAGACGCGACACCTTATCATCCTTGAAACAAACACGTGCCCCAGAAACAAATACGTGCCCCTACCTATTCTTCCATATATGCCACTATCTGCAGGAGTTGGGATCACAAATTTTCTGTTCTTCGTCCGTGATTACAATGGAACTTCGCTGCTTAGTGATCTCCATTTCTCTTCTCTTCGCTGTAAGTGTTAATTAGGACTATGAAACTTGGTCATTTTCTTTCTTCATGCCTTTATCAACTCTAACTACTGTTTTTCACTTGTTCTGAAACTTAAACATGTGTATACCAATCAAACATTATGCTTATGAGCCAATTTGACAAATGATATTGACCTGGTACCTTGTAGAATTTTTCAATTGCTTATTTGATGGAAAAACTTCAAAACTTTCAAAAGTTCTTCGAACTTTTGAATCCTGGTAGACTTTTGTTAATTAAGTCATGAAACTAATGTCGATGTATGTGCTGTGACAGCTTGTTCTTGCAAGAGAAAGCCATGCCCAATCATCACTACCAGATGAAGATTATTGGCAAGCTGTTTGGCCAAACACTCCCATCCCCACTGCATTGCAAGAGCTTGTAAAGCCTAGCCCTTCAGGTTGGTTGCATGATGATGAATTATGAACTCTAGATGATTGATTTCAGGGCTGAAATCAGCATTGTTCAGAGGTTTGATGGTTCAAATACGTTGAAATGGCTTGATGAAAAATCTATATAGTTTTATATTATTTTTATAAACAGTTGAAATTATTGTTTTATTTGTTGTCTCTCTTTTTTTTAATCAAAATTACAATTAAATAATATTGCTACGTTATACTATATTTATAAATATTATATATACATGATTAAATAGTATTATACTATGTTATATTCAACATGATTTATCACGAGGACTTTAAAATGTCTACCTTCTTAAACTGTAAGACACAAATAAAAAATTAAATTATATAAAACTAAAATTTAATATATTAATAAAGAAAAAAATATAAAAACTTCTCTAACATTAAATGATATTTTTATTGAAAATAGGTTATAACAATTAAAAGATTTTCTTGCAGGGAATGTAAAAAGTTAAATCAAATAATAAACATATTAATATTTTAAAATAAATAATAAAAGTGTATAAATATGTTGTGTTCTTTACTGGTTTGTACTGGGAACTTTCAATTGTAGGCGGTTTATGAATTAATTAGGTAACTTTATTTAAAATTAATTGGTTTTAAAATAAATCTACCGTATTTATAAAATCACCTATTTTGATAACTCTAAAGTTTATTGATTTAAGAATGAAATTTAATTTAAATATAAAATAACCTAATTTGATATAGTTGTGCTATGCTTTAGCACTAACAATCTATTATAGTATTAGAATCTATTTGATTCAATTTACAAATTTATCTTTGTAAATGTTCCATTTTGATATGCTCATATGTTTTAGTAGATGTGGACTTAAAAGTCAATTAATTTGAAGATGGAATCTGATTGATTGGATTAAATAAATTTTGCAAAACCTTTTTCATCCTCTTAAACAAACTATGACAGAGAGTCTTTTTGTCATTTCAACTTTATACATGAGGAGAAGAATCTCGTGTCATTCAACCTTTATATATCGATATTTGTATTTATGTATTTGTTTTTTGAGATGTAAATTCAGAAGAATTATTGAATAAATTTGATATTTTTCAATGCAAATATGAATCTTTTGCCTCCGCAAGTTAGAAGGTTAGTTTTGTTTTGCACTGTGAAGTAGATAAGAAGAGAAAATGATATATTTCGATTACTGTGATACAGATGCTGAAATCCATGATCACCCTACTGAAATTGATGGTACACAGTATCCGAAAACCTTCTTCTATGAGGAAGATCTTTATCCTGGCAAAATCATGAAGGTACAATTCAGCAAGGGTCTCTTTAAACAACCTGCCACTTTAATCGCTTGGTTGAAGAAAGTTAAAGACATTGATAAAGAAGGATACACTTTTGATGAGCTATGCATCAAGAGAGAACCTGTAGAGGGAGAACACAAGTTTTGTGCCAAGTCCTTGCGAACATTAATCGGTTTTGCCATTTCAAAGATGGGAAAAAACATTCAAGTAATGTCAAGTTCCTTTGTGAAGAAACAAGAGCAATACACTGTGGAAGGAGTGCAAAATCTTGGAGACAAAGCAGTGATGTGTCATGGGCTCAATTTCCAAATAGCAGTATTTTACTGCCATCAAGTCCATGAAATAAGAGCTTTCAAGGTTCAATTGGTGGCTGGTGATGGAACCAAAACTCAGGCACTTGTTGTTTGCCACTCAGATACTTCAGGCATGAATCATCAAATGCTTCATCAAATTATGGGAGTTGATCCTGGAACTAACCCTGTTTGCCATTTCCTTGGCACCAAGGAAATTTTATGGGTACCCAATTTAGCTGTGGACACTGCCTATCAGACAAACATTGTTCTTTAGTCCATCTTCGATCGGCACCATGAGTATGTCATATTGTGTGTAAATTGGGTATGTATGTCCTACCTATGTGTACTGTTAGAATCTGTCACTGTCACCCTAAAGGACCATCATCCTGGGGTCAATGTTCGTGTTGATGATGTTTTCATGCAATAAATATGTTGTTTTGTTGATTGAAGAAGATACCTATGGACCAAAAGATTTCCATGGAGAACTTTTTCTATTAAAATCCAGGCTTCTTTGGATAGAAGGCATTCTCAAAGCTAATTTTTAAACTTTATTCATCCATAAATACTTGCTGAGTACCAAGTATGCTACTTGTGTTTCCTTGATTTCACCATCACAGCATATTTCGCCTTTGGATTCAATTCATTAATTATCTAATAAAACATTATTTGTTTTAAGATCTCTATGTATAATTTTCAATCTTGTATATTGATGAAGATATAGAATCTTCAGAGTAATTCCACTTGTAATTTAAAAGGCTTAGAACAATGTAGAAATCTACTTAGACAAATCTGTCAGATTCACCAATTGTTTTTATTTTTCAATCCATCATGAGTAATGAGAAATAAATGAAAGTCTTCCATTGGCTATCTGGTAGTTTATACGAGACACCAACCAAAGAGAAAAAGGTCCAATTTTTTGTTAGGCTGATATCTATATATGAGCAATTTTTCATCTCCATCTATGAATGCAGCAACTATGAACTTTAAAATCATTTTAGTGTTGAAGTCTAGCACAAAATATAACTTCATTGTTCAGATTTTTTAAAGCCTGATACGATCTTTGTGAGATCCTCTTGACAGCTATCTCTTGTCCATTAGGTAACAAACACATTTTTATAAATAAATTTAAAATGAGTGCCAAGGCCAAGGCTTTGCTCTGTATTATTTTTTCACAAGCAGGTATGCACTATATAGAGGTCCGAAATCTCCTTCACCAAGTTTGTTTCTTGTCATTTAAGTTATCAGAGGTACGAGCTATTAAAGCAAAGCCAAACAAGTTAGTGTGAAATCATCTTGGCCACCATCATTTTTTATTTCAACAATGTGCATCAAAGTAGGTGCTAAAGCAGTGTGCAAAAGGTGCAGAATGTATCAGTTATATGAGGTGAATTGTGCACAACCGAGGCTCTAAAATGGTAAGAGTCAAATAATTGGAATGAGAAAGCAGGTGCTTGGTGGAAGAATCTACTTCAAGAAAAAATTTATCCTTCTCCATAAGGAAACCGGGTTCCTTAGATTGAGGCAAGGCACTCTCACTGCTCACCGTGAACATACTTGGGCCATCCTCAGGATGCTATTGGACACATAGAAGACTGATACGGATACAACGCAATGCTTTTGATAGAACAGATGAATTATCCATGCATGAATCAATTAAATCCAAAGGTCCAGTTTCTTTCCAAAATGTCCATGCCTAAAACAGTGTAACAGACAAGTCATCCCCAATGTGTGTTACGTGCAAGAAAAAAAAAGAAACAGGTCCTTTCTACTTTCACTTACATGTCCAATAATGTTCATACTATTATTTGAACGGGAAAAACCTCTGTTCTTCTTTCCACTTATTATCTCTAGCATTAGTACACCAAAGCTGAAGACATCACATTTCACTGAGAAGAATAGTCCATAAATGGCATATTCAGATGGCATGTAACCACTGAACAAAGTCGTTAAAAATATGGGTCAGAAGTTTAGAACAGCACCGGGTGGTAGATTCAGATTACAAATTATGTTGAGATACAATCACCCTCTCTGTATTTCCTTCAATCTGATCTCCCCCAAAAGTTCTAGCCATGCCAAAATCAGATATTTTTGGGTTGAACTTATGATCAAGTAGGACATTACTTGCTTTAAGGTCTCCATGTATTATCCTCAACCTAGAATCTTGATGAAGATACATAAGTCCTCGTGCAACTCCACAATTAATATTGAAGCGCTTAGACCAATCTAAAATTTTAGCCTTTGAGGGATCTGCCAGATTAACAATATTGCGAACTCATTATCCGGAAAGATATAGAAATATTTGAAGAAAAATGACAGAATAGGGTTTGTGAAAAGAGAAAATGGCGGAGGAATATTCTAGAAGAAAATGGAAATTAAATTGAAAAAGATATCAAGTGATCAGAACCAAATATAAAAGAGTGTAGCCTTTTTTGTTGGTAATCTTTTCCTCTCCTTCAACGAAACAACCAACAAGCTTAACTAGGTTCCGATGCTGAAGCTTGGCTATCAATATGATTTCATTCTTAAAATCATTAAACCCTTGTCCAGAACTTTGTGAGAGCCACTTCACAGCAATTTCTTGTCCATCTGCTAGGGTACCCTATAGTGTCCCACACATGCATAAGATAAATATTGTTAATAAGATGAATTCTGAGATTTTATGTTCATCATGGGAGTATGGTGCATAATTACCAGGTATACGGCCCCAAATCCAACTTCTCCAAGCTTATTGTTAATTGAGAAGCCATTAGTTACTTTGGAGATTGTAGCAAGGTCAAAGAAAGGAAGCTCAAGCTCTTCTTTCTCATCTTCTACGTTATTCTCTACCATCATGTTACTTTTCACAGGCTGAAAAGATAATAATGAAAACTCAGAGTAATGTGAGGCCGTTGATAGAATTGGGAGAATATATGTTTCTTTTTGTGCATCGGAGAGATTTCCACGAATGGAAACATGAAAGGGAATATAACACTACTTTAACACAAAACCTTAAAGGATCACTTAGTCTCATACTCTCATTGACCCAAGAATGTGAAGTATCTGGAGCTTTCAATTCACTAAAATTGAAAATTCCATGTTTTCTCCTTTTTCACAGCTCCATTCTTCAGTGGGAAAACATCCGTGAGTCCAGTTCATCATGTCCCAGTGCCCTAGCAATCTTGGTTTAAAATCCAATTAAACAATGGCACACTGGAGAATCACCAATTACACAATTTCCATTCGGTCCACAGATATTATATTATAATGAATGAACGTGTTGCGATGGTTCACTGATTCATCCAAAGTTTAGGACTCTTCTATTTTGTTAGAAATAGAATTAGTTTCTATAAATATAATCATAAAATATTACAAGTTAATTAAGAAAAAATACTTATTTTTTTTTAATTATTTTTCTCTTTGCATAATTTTTTCTTTTTGTTTGTGTCTTGTGAATGTATGCACACTAGTACAAAAAACCCTTTTAACATCGGACTTTTTACATCGGTTGTTAAAGAACCGATGTAGAAATTTTTTAAAGACTTTCCACATCGGTTCGGATGGGAACCGATGTAGAAAGTACTTTCTACATCGGTTCCCCCATGAACCGATGTGGAAAGTCTTTGTACTCTGAATTAAAATAATTCTGATCGGTCATAAGCTCATTCTGATCGATCATATCCAGTTCTGATCAGTCATAAAGTCATTCTGATCGGTCATATGATATACCATTTACTTTCTACATCGGTTCCCCCATGAACCGATGTGGAAAGTCTTAAAAAAAAATAATAATAAAAATTTTAGACAGTCTCCCAAGCCCTTACAGACTCTCCTAGACCCTTATAGACTCGACTCCCAGACCCAAACTCGACTCCCTCTGGAATTCTTCCCTTGCTCCTAGCCATTACCAAATTCATTCTCGCAGTAGCGAAAACCACCGTCTCCTTGCCCCTATCGCAGTAGCGAAAACCACCGTCTCTCCCATCTCCTTCCCCCAATCGAATCCCTAACCTCCGTTTCCCCAATCGAATCCCCAAGCGAAAACCACCCTTGCCGTGCACCAAGAACTGCGACGCGCACCAGGAACTGCGACGCGCACCAAGAACTGCGACGCGCCACCCTCGTCTTCACCTCTCTGAAACCCTCTAGGAGCTCCTCCTCATTGCACCTGCGCACCTTCGATCTCGTCGCGAACCAGAGGTGATTCGGACCAGGTCCGTGGGTCTATCCTATTGGATTCTGCATCCTTGTTTTGTCAATTACCTTTATGCATTTTCCTTGATTCTGGATTGTTTTGTTTGGTCGTGGACTGATTCTGCCTAGGTTTAATGTATGTAGACATGTTTATTCTGGGTTTTGTATTATTATTTCCATTTAGTTTGACTTGAATATGTGATTTTCACTTGGTTATTCTCGTGGGGTTGAGATTGGTGTTATCCAAGCCCTGTTGGGTTGGTTGATGTCGCTCTGGTCCAAGTCTCTTGGCGGAAGAGTTAAGGCTATGGGTTTCCACGCTGGGGTGTAGGGCTTTGGGGTATTGATTATATTTGGTTCTCTTGTTTTTCATTTGGGTTTGTTTCTTATGTTGTTGATTTAGGTTTGTTCTTTGTGTTGTTTGTTTTGTTCCTGGAGTTTTACTGTTGTTCCAGTACTATTTCAGTTTGGATTATATTTTGAGTTGTTTAAGTTTGTTGCCTCTGAATAGAGGTAATTCCATTTTCACACTAAGCAAAGACGTCATGTACCTATAGACATGGATCGGAGTTGGATAAATGCCAAACGTATAGAAGAAGAATATGAATTAGGGGTTGAAGAGTTCTTAGAGTTTGCACAGAGAAATGTGGGTAACAATAGAGGTCTCTTTTATTGTCCTTGTGTGAAGTGCTTAAATTTAAGACAACTAAGTGTGAAGGATATAAGAGAGCATCTCCTTTGTGATGGATTTTGCAAGAGTTACACTAAGTGGATTTGGCATGGGGAAGTAGTAGATTTCCCAATGGCTTCAGAGACAACTGAAATCCAGAAAGAAACCAATGATCGACTAGAAGATTTGATACGTGATATCGGTGAAGAGCCATTTGAAAAAGGATATGTATTCGAAGAACTATGCGAAGATAGTAAGAAGCCTCTGTATATAGGATGTTCTAAGTTCACACGGTTGTCAGCAGTGTTAAAATTATTTAACTTAAAGGCCAAAAATGGGTGGACGGATAAAAGTTTTACAGAGTTGCTACAATTATTAATGGAAATGCTTCCAGAAGGGAATACACTTCCAAGCCGTACTTATGAAGCAAAGAAAGTAATCTGTCCGATGGGTATGGAGTATAAGAAGATACATGCATGCCGTAATGATTGCATCCTGTACAGGAAGGAGTTTGGAAGTTTGCATAATTGTCCTGTTTGTGGTACATCACGGTTTAAAGTCAAGGATGGAGAAGATAATTGTGATAAGACAATTTCATCAGGAACCCCTGTCAAAGTAGTGTGGTATCTTCCAATAATTCCAAGGTTTAAGCGGCTATTTGCTAATGCCAAAGATGCAAAGAGCTTAACGTGGCATGTAGATGAAAGACAATGTGATGGGAAGATACGACATCCAGCTGATTCTCTGCAATGGAAAAAAATTGATGACATATTTCCAGAATTTGGTCAAGAGGGGAGAAACCTTAGACTAGCACTTGCTACAGATGGGATGAATCCTTATGGCAATTTAAGTAGTATACATAGTTCATGGCCTGTTTTGTTAGTAATTTATAACTTGTCTCCTCGATTGTGCATGAAACGCAAGTTTGTAATGTTGTCGATGATGATTTCTGGCCCCAAACAACCAGGAAATGACATTGATGTTTATTTACGGCCTTTGATTGAAGACTTAAAACTTCTTTGGGAAGAGGGTGTTGAGGTATTTGATGCATATCGTAATGAATACTTTAAATTGCAAGCTTTGCTTTTTTGTACGATAAATGACTTCCCTGCTTATGGAAATCTAAGTGGATACAGTGTCAAAGGACATAATGCATGCCCTATTTGTATGGAAGAAACGTGTTATCATCAACTGAAACATGGGAAGAAGATAGTGTACCTAGGACATAGAAGATTTCTACCAGTTAATCATCCATATCGGAGGTTGAAGAAGGCTTATAATGGCTTTCAAGAGAGTCAAATCGCTCCTAACCCTAAAACAGGAGAGGAAGTGTATTCGAAGGTGAAAGACATTCATTGTTTGTTTGGAAAGACCCAAACAGTTTCCCATGAAAAGGAAAAATGGAAGAAAAAATCCATATTTTTTGAGCTTCCTTATTGGTCTAGTCTAGATGTAAGGCACAATATTGATGTTATGCATGTAGAAAAGAATGTGTGTGACAGTCTTATTGGAACCCTCCTGAATATTCAAGGAAAGACCAAAGATGGCTTGAACTCTCGCTTAGATATGCTTCACATGAACATAAGACAGGAATTAGGTCCCCAATCACGTGGTAAGCGGACTTATTTGCCTCCAGCTTGTTATACTTTGTCTAAGAAGGAGAAAAAAAGCCTCTGTGAATGTCTTAAAGGTATCAAAGTGCCTCAGGGTTTTTGCTCGAATATTAAACGGCTAGTGTCAATGAAAGACTTGAAGTTAGTTGGATTAAAGTCCCATGACTGTCATGTATTAATGCAACATCTTTTACCAGTTGCTATTCGGGACATTTTGCCAAAGAAGGTTAGACATGTTATAACGCATCTGTGTTTTTTCTTTAATGCTGTTTGTAATAAAGTACTCGACCTTGAGACTTTGGATAACCTAGAAGCTGAAGTTGTGTTGATATTATGCAAATTGGAGATGTTTTCCCCCCTTCATTTTTTGACATAATGGTGCATTTAATTGTTCATATTGTTAGAGAGATTAAGTTATGTGGCCCTGTGTATCTAAGGTGGATGTATCCAATTGAGCGTTATATGAAAATCTTGAAAGGATATGTTAAAAACCCATCAAGGCCTGAAGCATCCATTGTTGAAAGATACATTGCAGAAGAAGCAATTGAGTTCTGTACAGATTATCTTTCTGAAGTAAGTCCTATAGGGATTCCAATGTTTCGTCATGATGGAAGACAATTTGGGAAGGGAACCCGAGGTGTTAAAGGTAGAAACATGAGTCGAGAAGAAGTTTTACAAGCACATTTGTACATCTTGAATAACATTGATGAAGTTCAACCTTTCTTATCTACTCACAAAGAAATGATCAAGCAAAGATATCCAAGGATAAATGAAAAATGGTTGTTGAATGAACACAATAAAAATTTCTTGAAGTGGTTTGAAGAACAGATCGTTACAATTGATGATGCATCTGAAACTTTGAAATGGTTAGCTCATGGCCCAAACTTTGATGTCATAACATGGAGTGGATATGATGTAAACGGTTATTCCTTTTATACTAAGCTTCAAGATGAAAAGAGTACAATGCAAAACAGTGGTGTGATGGTAGTTGCTGAATCAATGCACTTTTCTACTTCAAAAGATAATTCTCCTGTAATGGCATCCCTTTCTTATTATGGAGTAATTCAAGATATTTGGGAGGTTGACTACACCAAATTTAGAATTGCTGTATTCAAGTGCAATTGGGTTGACAGTAACAATGGTGTTTTGGTGGATGAATTAGGGTTTACATTGGTTAACCTGAATAACCTTGGCTATAAAGACGAACCTTTTATTATGGCAACTCAAGCAAAACAAGTCTTTTATATCTCCGATCCAGTTAATAGTAGTTGGTCAATAATGCTTCAAGGGAAACCCATGTCTGGTAGTGATGACCTTGAAGATTTACAACTTCAACAGTTTACCAGTCCATCTTCAGCATCACACATTTTACCTTCTAA